AGGGTTTTAGAAGGCTGAAGTATTCTTATGCAGAAGTGATACTGAAAGAGTTTATTCTCTGTTTGGTATATGTATTTTAGTATGAACTTATAATTTGTATACGAAGATAAGAAAATGAGCTTGCAAAAGCTGCCCAAGGAAATGAGTTCAACATCGTTGGGCAGTTTTAGTTCTTTCTGTGAAATAATAACAGCTTTGAGTAGTCTGAGTTTATTTTCTGAATATCTGAAATAAAGAAAAATAATTAGAAAACTAAATCAGATGCTACTGATAATGCCGGGTCCAGCTTTTGGTGTTCTTGGAGCATTTATAACTGAAGGAAAGCAAGTTGGGGATTCAACCAAAATCTCAGCTCAAATTCACAGCAATATCCCATTGCTATGAAGGCAGAACACATTGCTAATCCATAGTATGTAAACTCTTAGAATAGTGTAGTTCTGGTATTGCTAGACTACGCTCACAAACTATACTCAGCATACTCACAAACACAAACACACACTAGTATTAATGTGTCTTTGTTATTTTGCCTYGTATGCCCAGATGCTAATTTGCTTTGCATTTGAATGAATTCATGAAATGTAGCATCTGGAGTTTAGTCTGTTTTGATTTGCTTCACTAGCAGCATGAAGTTCAGACTGTGTAACAGAATATATTTGCTGCTAGGGCTCTTTCCATTAAAGTTACTATGGCAAAAAGTAAGACAAAGTAAATGTGTTGCTTTGCACTTCCAGACTATTATTTTGGTAAGATTATTGCAAATCTTTGGAGTAGGAGCTTGGTTTCCCCATTTGAACATAAATACCATGTGTTTTATAAACAGATCCCTCTATAATGTCACAGGCCTCTGCTTAAATCATCTAATGTCTATCACAAGTGCAAGGTCAAACAATTTGCTTTAGTATAAGAATACTTGTAAGAAGATGATCTAGTTTATAATGACCCTCCTCTACCCTCTGTGAGGTTTTTTTTTTTTTTTTTTTTTTTTTTTTGCTAAATGCGATCAGCTGTATTAGAGGTATATTACAACTGCAAAATCAGTAATATCTTAGATTTGGGTGCTGGAGAGCTGTCTTAGTTTTCACGTATATCTATTTTAACTCAGCCATTGATTTGTGATCAGTATGAATAAGGAGAAGTCATGAGGGTAGAAAAGAAAAAGGAAAATTTCAGAGGCAGCTCAAATTTGCTTATTTCACAGAAGTTTAGTAAGTGTTTAGAAATTGTTTGGTAATTCCAGCACTTTAAATGTCATTTTATGATGTCTTTTAGACATACTCTTGGCAGTGAAATCTGAGTATCAATATCTAAAATTAATAGCATCCATGAAAAGCATGACAAACATTTTTACTTTCTGTGACCTGGAAGAGAACAGGCCTTGTCGGAGTAACAGACAATCTTTACATGACAGACAATCTTTACAAACAGACAATCTTTACAAATACATGTACAAGCCAACAAATAGAAGCTTAACTTTTGGGTTTGCCCAGGCATACATTGAACTAGTTCAGTACTGGGATGACGTTTTGGTGTTGCTGAAATTATATATACCACTTCTTTTTGCCATTTCAGCCTGAATCTGTTTTTAATTACTGCAGTAATTTATCATGTTTTTGAAATGGAAAAKATATAAATATGCATTCTTATACAAGAAATTCACCATTATGTCATCAAATGCATCGGTGCTACTGTAAATAATAAAGGCATACAGACCACTGTGATGGAAGCCTCCTTAAACACTGTAATTATCAGAAAATACTACAGCACTACCAGATTATTTCAGATCTATGTCTTTTGAATTCCCATTCTGCTAAATTCCCATCTCCAGCCTTAGCATGTATCTGATTTATTGAGATGGGAAGCTTTCTTAAATAAAGGTCCTATTCCTTCATTTTTTCATAGGGCGGATCCTATATGCTCAGCTGGTGAGGAAAGATTGTAAAATACACTGAACCAGGACATTTAATTTAATTGTTAACTTTTTTTTYCCCCCTGTTGAACAGTGACTCTTTGAACTGGTTATGGAGCAGAATAAAGCTGGTTGTCAAACTGTATATTAATGAAAACTCTAATTAATAATGATGAATGATGTTGAATTGTGAAAACATAGTGGAAAATCTAGATGTTCATGTAGAGTTTCCAGATCAGTGTGATAAATTTAAGGCATGGGCATGTCTCTAACTCTTTTTACATTGAWTAGGAAGAATAATTGGGGTAGATGAAATGCATTTTGTTAGATTTTAGGTTCATAAAATATTACATATATTTCTAATTACCATGATAGCATGGGTTGCTGTAAAATTAGTTCTGAGCTATCATAAGCATTCCTAGATGTCTTCAGAATTTTAAACAAAGTTAAATCTGGAGTGGTTCCTAGAAAACTTTTATTCTGCGAGGTATTTCACAGCTTCAAGAGAGCCTGTCCAATAGATGTATTATTATCACAGATTATCCARAGTTAGTTGATCAAGTGAATCCTTTCAAGAAATGTTCAGATGTTTGTCTGTAATTAGGCAATTGCTTATAGCTTTTGTGCAACATACTGAATAACATCAACTATTGTTGATGGCAGTGGAAAGTCAAGAGGAGGATGCATAGTGAAAAAGGGTATTAGTTACCTTTATTTTCAGAATACAATGGATTTAGTAAATATGTATGGGAGATACATGTCTGTAGTCCAAGCAGGAAAACTAATTAATTTTGGCTCTCGCTCTGACTTACTGCATTTCAGCAGTTTGCAGAGATATTAAAGTGTATATTTTTTGTGGAAGAATACAGTTGATGACAAAAAATAAATACAGAAAGGGGAGAGACAGGTTATTATGATTTCACCAATATATACTTTTGCATTTATCCTAACTTCCATTATTTGTGTTTCTTCATGGCTGTTCAATTTCATTTCTTGGTAATTTTAATATCATATTTTCTTTGCATGTTGATGTTATTGGAAAGAGTGACTTTTCTTGAAAAACGAATGAATTTTCAAGAGCCATATCAAAAAAATATATAAAAAGGGCTTTGTGCAGTGATTTTATGAAGGCCCTAAGCTTCTTCCTAGGACTTTTGTCCATAGTACTTCCATGAGTGAAATATTAAACAGTAAGTATGTATTCTGAGAATTATGTGACAAAGCAAAATAAAGAAATGATAGATAATTTTAATTATGTTTTTGTATAATTATTTGATATCTGTTCTTTTTACATGCACCAAAAGCATCAATGAATGTGTAAGTGCCTTGTGCGTATATGAGACATAAAAAGTTGTAAAAATATTTTCATCTAGATTCCATTCTAATGGAATTGTGAAAGGATTTWAAAAAAAAGAATACTCTTCTAAGTCTTCCTGATTACTGAATATCAGTACTTTATGACTAAAAATTCATACTTAGGATCACAGTTTGTTAGAGGCAATGATCAAGCTTTATTATAAGGAGAATTTCTTTATTGCAATATGTGCATTCTCCAGAAAGGTCAGAACCATGCAGCTGCTGTTCAGTTTGTCTCATGATGAAACAACTGGAGGATGGAATTAACTCATATATTTTTAACATGGTTTTGGATACTGCTTTACTGCTAGTTGAAGAAGAATTACTTAAAATAGTGAGGGGAGAATGTAAAGAGGATGGGGCCAAAGTCTTGGTGGTGGTAGCCAGGTGGCCAGTGACAGAACAAGGAGTCATGGCAACAAACTGAAACACAGGAAGTTTCATTTGTGTATGAGAAAGAACTATAAGGATGACAGGGCCCTGGCACAGGCTGCCCAGGGAGGCTGTGGAGTCTCCTTCTCTGGAGATCTTCCCAACCCACCTGGATGCGACCAGGTGCCCCGTGCTCTGGGTGTCCCTGCTGGAGCAGGAGGTTGGACTGGATGATTTCTAGAGGTCCCTTCCGACCACAATCATTCTGGGATTTTGTCATTCTGTGATTTCACAATGAAATTTATATTTACTTAAAATTCACATGATTCTAATAGTATTCTTCTATAACATCCTAAAAATATTTTATTCAAATTTCACAACRTATTTGAAACAATTTTGTTCTTTCTTTTTTCAAAATGTAGATTTTCAAATATTTTCTATCAGATGATAGCCATTTTTTGTGGATGTGTGCCCTTTTTCAGCCAAGGTCTTTAAAGTGTAATTTACACTCTGGAAGGTCTTGGATTTTTCTGTATCTTCCTGGATAYATATCTTCTTGGTACAACAGTCAAATAATTTTGTTATCTAGTTCTATATTCCTGATTATGAGAGGATTATGTGAGATAAGTAGATCAAAAGAGTGTGTCAAATTTGTTATATTATTTTTGAAAGGATGGAGGCAAAATAATTTTAGTTTTCCTCTATATAATATTTGGTTATTGTATAATCTATAAATCTCTAAAATGGTTTATTCAGGTGCAGAGAAATATACTAGTCAGAATTTTCATTTCTCCCTCTGCCATAGTTCTTCGGCACATTTTTGTCTTGTGTCTCATTAAAATAAGAGGAAAATTCTATATGGCAAGAGGGAGGTGACAGTTCTGAAATGCTCTTTGCTTCCTGCAGAATGGGAGGCATGGATAGAACACACTTGGCAGTGGAATTTGCAGTGCTGAATGCCATTGTAAGCTAAAAGAACAAGATAAACCTGCTGCTGAAAAGACTCTTTTATATCGTGTTGTCTCCATCTTATGTTTAGTGCTTAGTCTGTTTCAGCTTTAGAGCCGTTAGTAAAGTATTATCTAAGCTGCTGTAAGCAGCACAATACTCTGCCTCCCCTAGAGTGCCAGCGACTACACAATATTATTTGGAATTATTTGAAATGTTCACTTGCCTCTTTACATCAGCGGAAATGTTTATAGCTTTGACAATCCTCTTCRCTCTGTGTTTCCTCTTTGGGAAATCGCTAAATATGATTCCAACCAATCTATGGAATTTCACAAAAAAAAAAAAAAAAWACTTTTTCAAAGATCTCAGTACTAAGAATTCTAATGTGGGTTTCTTCTTTTTTCTAGTAAGCAATCAACAGAGCTGGAAAACTTGGCAGTGAACTCTTTGTCTATTGCGCTTTTATTTATGGATCCTGGATTTTACAAGGTAATTGTTCCATTTTAACTGTCTGCATTTTTTTTCAATTTACAGTGTTTTTTTTTCAATTTTCAACATTGAGTTATATTAAATATTCATATGCTACAAGTGTTATGTCTTGCTTTGAATGCATTAAGAAGTGTAAACCCTCTCAGAAAGGAAGGAAAATGTTAACAAGATCTGTGAGTTCCTCAACTGCACTTCCAGTATATTTCCATTAGTCTGAGTGGAAGAAGAGTTAAGCTAAACCTTAACATTTTAATTTGAAAATTAATGCATTTGTTATTGAAGGATTGCTTCTCTGTGTATATACATTCTGAGTTTATTAGAGATTTTATAGGTAGAGAGGCTAAACACACTTGTCCAGATGTGTCCATCTATGCTTGACAATCCTATTGCTTTATAGGTTTTAAATTTAAAAATATTTTGATGCCTGCTCTTAATAGTACTTAATAGTTTTCTAATAGTAATAGTTTTCTAATAGTAATGTTCTGGAAATAGTCATGTTAAATATTTGAAACATTTAATTATGTAGAGTTTTAAAATGCCTAGGGAAAAATAACTTGCTTTGATAATTATTTTTGTTACCATGAGTAGAACTGGTTTTATCAATAGAAATATCTCCCTTAATATCTTCCTCCACTGTGGATAAGTTAGAGTTATAGTTAATGTTATTCTCTTCCCTTGTAGATGTTATTCCACCACCAGTTCTATCTTTGAAGTTATTTTAGCTGTAGGAGAGAATATTACTCTGAATTTTGCTGCTACTGAAGCTAGTCCTTTTACACATGTTGAAAAAAGGACTTTCAAAAGCTTTCCTATTTTGTTACATTTTAAAAAGAATAGAACAAGCAAAAGCTACTCCAAATTCATACTTTTTAAATATAGAGCTAAGCAGAAGAATTATCCTCTTGACACAAGGGCTACCATGAGCTATATATTCYCGGTGAAAATTGGCTCTTCCAAACAAGAAAATCAGCAGCCTTTACAGCAGCTAAGATGGAGGAGAGAACATTCAGCTCTGATGCATTTATTTAATAAGTGGAATCCAAGGGCTGTGCATTTCAATCAATTGCATTTCTTTAGTAAAGAGAAGAAAAAGTTGAAGTGGGTGGGAACTCTGCTGTGCATGAAACTGTGCCACAATATGTGGGTGGTGACTGAAAAAGAGGAACGTAGCAACATTTTAGACATTCTAAAGATGAAAGCCATTTGTAAATACTGAAGAAGAGTGTTGTTTTTATTGTCTTTCACCTTTCAATAATATGCCTTAGGATGATCACCTGATGTGAGGGATAGTAAGATATTTTCGATCAGCTGAAAGGCAAGCTTTAGAGTTGTGATTTGATTAATATTAAGACAGATTTGGGAGTTACTGTGAACAGAATTTCCTCTCCTTCTATCCTTTTGTCTTTCTACTTTAAAAAAAATACTAAAATCAATGTATATTTTAAATTATTATCACATACCCATCTTTATTTTCTTTTTTTTCTTGTGAATATGGAATACATAGGATGTGGATTGCTATAAACTGGTACTGAGAAAGTCGTCTCTGTACTGTTGATGTGATATTGGAGTGCTAACAGAAACAAACAAAAATTTATAAGAATCTCATGAATGTGTCTGTCTGTAGCACTCAAACAATTATTAAATACTAATGTAAGATAGTCCTGTCTTTGGGATAGAATTTTGCAATCAAAATTCAGCTTGGTACAATATCATGCTTAACTTCCATAAGTTGAAAAATATATGAGCAGGAAAAAAACCACATAACTTTAAATATACTTACTATGAAAAGGGTGACATTTGAACTGCAGTTACAATAAAAGTTAAAAAGAGACCTTATCAAAATAATGTTTGTACTCTCCCAAAGTATGCCTGTTTATTTTGATTTACATGATTAAAAATAATGTAAATCAGGGTTTTCAGCTTCAGTCTGACAAAAAACCAGAACATTAAAAACCCATTACATAATAGTAGCCCACTGATACACAGATGGCTAATAAATACATTATTTTTTTCTAGGTAAACAGAAGCTTTCATTTAAAAAATTAAAAAAAAGTATATTTAGTACAGCTCAGATTTCTGGTAAAATATGTACCTATTAGTAGAAATTAAAAACATGTTTTTGACGCAAGCTTCACAGCTTTGTTCTTGAATAATAACTTACTGAGCTCTATTCCAAGCAGGTTTACTGCCTCACTATAAATWAAATTATAGTTAGACTAGAAGATTCTGCTCAGACCTGGTATGGATTTAGGTTTAATCATTTATGATGGTGTTTTCTGACACATTTTACTCTTCTGGACAGAATCTTTTTCTGACAGCTAGGGGTTGTCAAAGCAAGTTAGACTCCASACCTGAAAGGCTTGGTAGTACAGGATGTTTACATGCATACTATTTAAGTGCTAGTGATGAAAAGCCCATCCAATTCTCTCTGAGAACCTTGTTTTAAATTAAAAGCCCTTGACCGGCCAAGCAAGAGTAAGTTTCCCAACCGTGTTAATGAGAGAACCAGAACAAGTCTGTGCTTGCTAATGGTATGGAAACAGTCTCATGTGACAATCCTATAGGAATGCTGTTGGAAGCATTGCACACCTCTTCTAGGAATAGAGATTTCTCCATGCTGAGAAGCAGTGCTGTTATCTTACTTAGTTCTGTTTGAGATGTGATGAATGTGACTGAGGAGATTGATGCATGTACTGTTAACTGTTAAAGAAGTGTTCTTCATATTCCTCGGGCATATTATGAGAGGTGGCCAACTACATGGCAAGGAATAAAATAACTACAGGCCACTTGAAGTAATATAATTTGACATGGCAGAAGAAGGCACTGAAGTGAAGAAGAATACATTAGAGTATGCAATTCTCTCCCGAAATTCTGAAAAAGAGATAATGCTAGCAAAAAAGTAGATTTTTTTTCTTTTCTACATTTTCTACAGGTAGTTCTCAGAAGAAGTTGTTATTGGTGTAAATACTAACAGTGTCATTCAATATAAGAAGATTTTATTTATACATTCAGAAATAGATTTAGGTGTAAATACAGCTTTATGAATCTGATAACCTTCTATAATGGAAACATGAGGAGGGGCTGGAAGCATAAGACTGGAAACATGAGGAGAGAGCAATGGATGTTGTCTTTTGGCTTTTGACTCCCCTAATGTCCTCCAAGCTAAGGTCAAGAAGTGCAGGATAGATGAGTGAACAGTAAGGTGGACTGAGAAGAGACCAAATGTCAAAGCTCAGGGAGCTGTGGTAAACGATGCTGAATCTARCTGGAGGCCTGTGGCTAGTGGTGTCCCCCAAGGATTAGTATTGGGTGCTATTCGATTTTGGTGCTATTCAATTTATTCATCAACAGCGTGAATTAAAGGCCAGAGTGCCCCCTCAGCAAGTCTGCAGATGAAACAAAATTGGGTGGAACAGCTGACACACCAGAGGTCTGTGCTGCTGTTCAGAGGCGCCTGGACAAACTGGAGAAATGAGTAGGGAGGGGCCACCTGAAGTTCAACAAAGGCATGTTCAAGGTCCTACATCTGGGGAGGAATAACCCTGGACGCCAGTATAGGATGAAGGTTGCCCTTCTGGAGAGCATCTCTGCAGAGGAGGATTTGGTGTCCAACAATTTAAATTCTGGTGCCCAACCGTTTAAGCATGAGTCATGTGTGCACCCCCAAGCTTGAACTTATACACATGAGTGCACCACCAAGACCAATATATCCTCGAGGGCATTAGGAAGAATGTATCCAGAACATCAAGAGAGGTGGTCCTCCCCCTCTACTCAGCCCTGGTGAGGTCACCCCTGGAGTACTCTGTCCAGTTTTGGACTTTGCTTTACAGAGAAGACATGGTCCTACTTGCAGAGTCCAACATAGGACTATAAAGAAAATGAGGCTACAGGAGCATCTCTCTTCTGAGGAAAGACTGAGAGGCTGTTTAGTCTATAAAAGGCAAGACTTAAGAGAGGGTTTTATCAGTGTATACCAATGTATTAAGGTCAAGAGGATGGTGTCAAGAGGATGGGGCTGAGCTCTTTTCCATGGTGGATAGTAATAGGACAGTATCTCTGGACACACTCAAAATCCTCTTGCATGCAATGCTGTGCAACGTGCTCTAGGTGACTCTGCTYGTGTAGAGGGGGTTGAACTAGGTGATCTCCAGAGGCTCCTTCTAACCTCAAGCATTCTGTGTGATTCTGTAAGCAGAGAAGCAGCATGCTGCTAAAAAAGTAATGTTCTTCTGAATTTGTCAGAGACTCATCAAGATGCTCTTGGATTCCTCACTTTGTTTAGGGAAAGCCTTTGTGCTGAGTTTGGTATTTTTTCTCTGGAGAATGCTGCTGCATCTTCAAAGGCCATTATTTGAAGTCTCTTAATGAATTCTGTATGTGCAAAAATTGTCCTTTTTTTTACATGTTTTTTTCTTGTTTAAGTTGTTGCATAAATTTGCAGTCTTTTTGGAATCATTTGAGAGTGTTTCCTTCTAACTGGGAACATGTCTTAGACACAATTATAAAAAAAAAAGAATAACATTTTCTTTTTTTTTTCAAAATTGTATTCAAATTTTTCCTCAAAAAATGAAAAAAAATCCTCCAACCAAATTAAGGAAATATCTTCATACTCATGGAAGAGTCTTAAATTTGAATGCACTGATGAAAGGTAAGGATCTGCATTCTAAGGTTTCTTTTACAACTCTTAGAATAGATTTTAAAAATGTGGAGGTGTGATTTAAATATTAATATGTTCATACTGAATATATCATTTTAGTCAGTCAGTCAGTCATCAAGTCAGTCAATTTAGATGACTAAATCCTCTTAATACCATAGTGCCCTGGTAGCTCTGAAATCATGGACAGTAGCTGTCATAGTCAGTAGTATGATATATTAAGCTTCCCAGAGACCAGTATCCTTGAGAAAACCAACTGGTTACAAATGAGATTCTTATAGTTTTGTTCAAGGTTTTTCAAGAAGCCTATGATATCTAAAACAGCAATTGGATTCTTAGCGTACAG